ACCTACAGGAGGAAATGAGACTGTGCCTAGGAAACCTCCTTCACAGCATGAGTGTGCAATCTTTATGCAAACGAGACCTTACTCACATGGTGTGTCTCAGCAGTCCTCTCCTGGGAAAGCACTGGCCCCACACTCCAGCTGGCCAGGGTGACAGCAACAGGCAAGGAAGAGGGGACACGAGGTGTACTGCCTGCGCAGGTTTCGCCGATGGATGGGCACGTGGGACTGGAAGCAGCCTCGCTCACCGAGCCCACCTCAGCACGTCAAAATGAACGCCCGAACCGCCAGGACTGACTTACTCCTGTGGCACCTTTTCAGTTTGCCAAATTTCATGCTTATTTGCTAGCACCCTGGCACAATTAAAGGCAGCCGACGTCACGAGGGCACAGCGCTTGTAGCCAAAAGCAGGCACTGCCAGCAAACAATGGGATTTCCAAGGAAGCATAACAAACATGCCAGTGAAATAGAGTGTTTTCCTGAGCTTCTTTGCTTGCTCATGGCCTGTGAAAAAAAACAAAATCCAGAGCGATCTACGTAATCGTTGTTGTGCGTAGGAAGGCTTGCCTGGGCTTTGTTCTAGGGAAAAAATCTAGCTTTGGCAAAGGTGAGAGGAAAGGAGTTTCTAATTGCTGTAGGCTTCTCTTTGTGATTCATTGCTTCTTCACATACGAAATGACTTCAAATAGGTAAAGAAAATTCACCTCCTGGTGCAGGGATGGGAAGGCACTAGGCAAAAACTCAGCTGTGGGGAGGCGGTACCAGGTGCTGTCCCGATGGTGGGGTGAATCAGAAGGAAAACCATTCACATCAGGGGAGATAGGGCGAGTCTCGCTTACGCCAAAGACCCGTTGCTCTCCTCCAGCTGCAGGGAGCTCAGCAATGCAAACTTGGATTGGCAGTAAGAGGGTCCCTCCAACAGCCGGGCAAAGGGCCTTCCCTGGGGCGCGGGTGACCACGACACCCAGGCAAAAGTCACATCGGGTCAGAGAAGAATCGGGAACTTCTTTGTGCACCATTTCTGCTCAGTTTGCCCCCACCAGGCCTGGATCTGACCTTTGCTTCATCCCGCCCCTGTTAATCCCAGATGGGAGAGAGTCGGGGGCTCTGCATCCCCTTTCTGTCAGGCAGGAGACGGGCAGGGCGCGTGACCCCCAGTGACGGCGGTGGACACGGGGGCAGGGCATGTCTTTGATTCTCATGTCAGATGACGGGAGTTGAGCACCAACAGAGCAGTGAGCGCAGCGGAGGGGAGAAACGGGCGCGCAGCGACAAAACGGCAGCCCCTCTCCCACGCCGTGGGCTGTATGTGTCGTTGTGAAGATGTCGAGACAAAAAGCATTCTGTTTGGATGGGAGAGGGCCCTTCCTGGCCGAGGGGATTTGCCTGGGTTCCTGCAGGGGATGGATCCAGGCAGCTCACAGCGTTTTCTGCTGAGATTAAAGCTTTTCACGCAGCAGGACATCCACGCTCCGTTCATCTGTGCGTGTTTACCTGCCTCAGCAGCCTCTCAGCTTGGGAACCAGGGTGAAAAAAACATTGTGGAAGGAAGATATGAAAGTAAAAAGCTAAGACTTCAGCTGCGCTTCCAGCAGAAAACTCCCCAACAATCCTCACGTGTCCTTTATTTGCCTATTACTCTGGCCACTGTTGGAAATAACATGCGACACAGAAGAAAAACACCACGCTATTTCTGTCACCTGTTCCCAGCCCTCCTGTGAGACTGCAATCCCTCAAAACGGGCAGTACCATATAATTTACTCACATGCTGTGTGCTTTCAAATGAGTTGTGATACGCATCTCCAAGGTGACTTCATACCCAAGCCACCAAGGTGAGGAAAGGGATTTATTATTCACCCCACTTAACAAACTCAGTTAGTCAAACTACCCACTGCAACTTTCATTGGCACCAACACGCTTTAGGTCAGCCGGACTTCCGTGGCCAAGATCCTCTTAGGGGAGCCTGAAAGGTAACCCCAAATCGTTGCTGCTCCATCCGCACGAGGCCATCTCAAGGAATTTTGTCTTGCCTTGTGACTATAAAAGATTGTTCCTCCACCCTTCGAACTAGCTGTTGTATTTGCCCTGATTGTGCACAGTGCTCCTTAAAAAGAAGGCTGCAGGCAGCATGTGATAATCAAAAACCACCCATGCCTACAGAAAGTCACTTTTTTACAGTAAGCAAAAAAAGTGGTTGTCCAGAAGTTGTGTGGAATGAAGAAACCAGAAGATTCATAGCTGAGGTTCCAGGTATTAGAGGTGGTTTCAACTTTTAAAACAACCATGTGGTGGCATTTTTTGCTCCTTAAAAAGAAGGCTGCAGGCAGCATGTGATAATCAAAAACCACCCATGCCTACAGAAAGTCACTTTTTTACAGTAAGCAAAAAAAGTGGTTGTCTAGAAGTTGCGTGGAATGAAGAAACCAGAAGATTCATAGCTGAGGTTCCAGGTATTAGAGGTGGTTTCAGCTTTTAAAACAACCATGTGGTGGCATTTTGTTTTGTGGAGGCTTTTTTTAATATGAAGATTTCTGCTCCGGCTCTTTTTCAGCTCAATCTCGAAGACACTAGAGGAAAAAGAGCCTGTATTTTCAAAAGTATTGGCATCTTTTTTCCAACAGCCACGCTGCGCACATGCACACACTCTCCAAGTCGAGTGCGTTCTGTGACTGAGCTGGGAGACCACCGAAGCTTAACGAAGAGCAGCCAGGCAGCTTTTGCTACCTTGAGCGCAGCTCCACATTTAAACATTATTTTTTTTTCTCTTCCTTTTAGAACGAGTACTTCTGGAGCACTCGCAGAACGATCCCGTAGCTGCAGACGCCTTTGGAAAGCAATGAGCTGGGCGTTCTCCTCTGCAGGGACCGCGCTGGCTTGCAATCCTGGAAACGTCACAGGGAAGAGAGATGTTCTGATGATTTTGCCCATCGAACGACGACGTGGTACTCTGAGTGTATAAAATAACGTGCAGCGCAGGGGAAACGCTATCATAGAGAAGGTAAAGGGCCACAGTAACTTTGCTTGGGTGAATCCGTGCAATGGCGCTGACTACAACAGCCGAGCTCTGGCCTCGGTTTCTTTAGGGATTCCTAGCTAAGGCACCTAGCCCTCTCTGTCCCATGGGGCATCGTCAGGAGGGTGGTTTTGCACTGGCGTACTGCGGGGAGCCTGCCTTGGCGGGGGCATGGGTAGGGCCGCAAGCCGGCCCTCACCAGCGAGTGCTGGGGGAATCGCCCGAGGAAATGGAAAACAGGGCAGCAATTTTCCCTGTTCTCCAGCATGGCAGGATGTGGTACGAGAGAGGGAGATGGTTAGCTGAGGGACAGCTCCCCATTCTAGTGTAAATCCCGTATTGCTTCACCCAGCTTGCGGCTTCAGGTCCTTACAATTACTGCTGGGGTCAGGATCTGCCCCTGAGCATTTGCAAATTGAGCCATTGCACAAAAACGAGTGGGTGAGTGCTGGAGGATGTGTTTGGTCAAACAGGAGTTACTCGGTGCGTGGTGTATGGAAAATAGAGCAGTCGAAGCCCAGGGCAGTGTGCTAACAGCAGGCAGCATCCCAAAAAACCTCCTAGCACGTGGCAGGACTGCCGTCCTGGACAGGCTT